TCTCAACGGCAGTCATCATCGTCCGGTCAGCGCTCTCGAACACACACAAACGCATACAGTCCACTGCAGTCCACCACATGGAGAGTTTTTCCAATGAAACCGCAGAATCACCACTGCCTACATTAATAACCATTTTAATAACCTTATTATACAGGTCGAAGACTGTTAATATCACATTATTTTTTCAGTGTGGAAAGTTTTGCAGAAGGTTTTCATTTTAGGAAAGTACAAAATCTAATTGACCTACACCGCTGTTGTGTTTTGTGCATGGATCAACCGAAAAATTCGCTAAGAGCCAAAGCTGGCATCAAAAACCCTGGTAATAACCACGTGGTCTGCAGAACCCAGATGCTTTTATTGGGCCCGGTTAATTCCAACACGAATTTTCCAATAAATGTTTCGCCAGGTTTAATGCATGATCAATTGATCGGACCTATTATTGCCTTGCCCGTTAACTTACACGGCGAGAGATTTAAGAGTTCCTACAAAATCATTTTTGAAGAGGTTCCGTTGGCGTTCAAGTAGCTTCGGCAGAAACATCGCCTGGCCAGCTCGTTCCCTAGACTTCACTCCTCTGGTATTCTTTTTTGAGGAATAATGGTGCAGAAAATTTATCGGGTAGTTCTAAACACCAGGAAGGAGCTTCTTCAATTAATTTTAAAAGAATGGATAAAATTTAAAAAATCTGAATATCGACATCAAGCACATATTCGCACCTTACTAATGTAAACCGAGCGACATGATTGCTGGGCGTTGAGAACAGGTCAGTTTCACCCGTTATCTGCGCCAACGTCGTCACCTCACTCGCTTTCGACCAGTTGTTGCTTGAATTCAGATTCTCCGAAGCGTCTTTCATAATCCAGGTAGTAAACCTAACACCTTCGGTTAGGCACGCAGGTCAAGCAAGAAATGTATTTTGATAATAGAAACCGCTTCGATCACGGCACATTTGAGTTGTCAAATGTCGAGGGTCCTTGTGTTTCGATCGATTGTAGGGAGAATTTTTAATGCTTTATAGTCCGATCTATTGCATAAAATTGTTCGTTCAATTGTTGATATTATAATTTAAGGGATTTTGTAAATTGTGTTACGGTGAAGAAAGTGTTGTCATTGCACAAATTACTAATAGGCCCGTCAGCCACTCGTACTAAGCTAAATATGCTTGAGTGCACGAGTGAGCTCACCACAATAGTTGAGCGGCGGCGGGATTCGCACCCTATGGCTGGCTTTTTAATTGTAAAAAGATAGGCCGTGTAGTGTCTCAGTGTAGGAAACGTAACAAGAAGTTTCAATCATCGTCATCATCACTCCACATCTCTCTCTCTTCTTTTTTTTAACAATCTTAGTTTCATCAGCACTCTGCACTACTACTATTTCCTAGTATTCCTAGTTCCTAGAAAAAAGTATTTTATCGTTAAAGATTTAGGTCGCCCTATAGACTGTCTTGGTATGCGAGTCACACGTAAGGATGGCACTCTTTCACTTGATCAAACAACATAATATTATATCGAGCAAGTTTTGAAAATTTCGGAATGACAGATGCCATTCACGTGTCCACTCCTAAGGAGCCTGGTACAAAACTTGTTTTACTAGACATCAAAGAGGAAAAGCCAGATTTACCATACCAGTAGCTGATTGGACACATTGCCATCGGTACGTACGGCGACCTGACATTGCCCATACCGTATCTATTCTCAGTCAGTTCAATGCACATTACGGGGAGATACACTGGACAACTGCTATGTGTGTTCTCTGATACCTAAAAGCCACGAAATATTACGGTAGTAATATGTCGAAAGACGTTTTTATACCTACGGGATATGTGTTCCAGATGTGCAACTCATCAGTGTCATGGGAGTCATGAAAACAGAGAACTGTAGCCCAGTCAACGACGGAAGCTGAATACATGGCACTTAGTGAAACTTGTAAAGAGGCCATTTATATTAGTTCCCTCATCAGCGACATCTTTCCACGTGATAACCAAAGTGCCATTTCGCTTACAAAAAAACAACACCACCATGCTCACACTTAGCACATCGACATACAACAACATCATTACAAAGTACCTTCCATCATAATCCCACCTAAACAATCTGAAAGAATACAACTGTATGTCTATCGTACCTATAATATTTAAAGAATTATCCTCCAACTCTTTGCCATTATGGATTACGTTATTCAACATGAAATTTGAAAAGGCAATGGAGATATGCATGTTCTTTTATTTCTCATAATATTTATTTGGCAAGCCATCCAGATCTTTTATTTAAGATAAAAATAACTTACTTGAGATAAAAATAAACTGACCACAAACTAGGTTAATCTAATCAAAGATAAACTTAAACACAAAAAGCCTTTAAGAGTGTGAAATTCAATGGCTGGAAACATAATGAGCATCAATTGAGGAAGTATTAACAAGTTTGAGGAAATATCGACATGACGCTAGAAGCGCTCTTCAATTTGATAAAAATACTATTTTATCATTGTATGCCATTGCGTGCAGCCCACCGTATGACGTTTTTATCAAAAAGTTATGTCTTCTTGTCCCATTCTTATTATATTTCTGAACTACTGAGCAATGTGTCTATTATGACGAAATCATTAAAGACAAATCTAAGATCTTGGCTATTGATGCCACTGGATCTTTATTTAAACCAATTAAGCCACCTGAGACAAATGATTTTTTAAAATACATAAAATGCAAGTCTCTTGCCATTTCACTCAAACTTGGCGTCAAGAGATAAATCATTCCCATCGCTGTCGTTGCGGTACTCGCGTCGGTGAGTTAGGACACCATGGTTTCTCAATTTCTCATGCCAAATGAGTGCTGGTCGAGTCTCCCGATACGCCTACATCAATGACGTCATCCGAAGAGCTCTTGTCGCCGTCAATGTACCAGCTGTTCTAGAGCCTGACGGCATATTCCGTGACGACGGCAAGAGACCTGACGGTATGACGCACATTCCCTAGAATCACAGATTTCTTCTTTTGTGGGAGGCAACGTGTGTGGATACGCTTGCTCCGTCTCATACAGGAGGTACCTGCTTTGTCGAATTCGCGGCGGCGGCCTCGGCTGAGTGCGCAAATATGCAGCTCCCAATGAGAGTTATATTTGTGCCGTTTGGGGTTGAGACTATGGGCCCGTGGGGTCCAAGCGCAAGTTCCTTTTATAAAGAACAGGCAAAGAGGCTCACCGAGGTGACTGGTGATCAAAGGCTGGCATTTTCGGTCAACGTATAAGCCTGGCCATACAACGTGGCCATGCTGCCAGCCTTTTGGGCACCATTCACGACTGCGGTGCTAGGAGTGATATTTTTTTTTTATTTTGTAAATATTTTGTAAATAACATTATATTATAAGTAATTTTTAAAGTTTATTTTTGAGTTTTTATGTTTCTTGTATTTAGTCGAGTTATTCTAATAAATATAAACCTCCTTTAAAAATGCAAACATGTTTTTACATGCTGTATCATATACCTCGGGTGCAAGTGTTCCAATTGGTAACATGTGCTCTAACTCACACACAACAGAAACAATATTCACATGGCTTAGCTCATGGCAGATGAGACCTTCTAAACGAAATAATTTGTGATGACTCGCCTGCTTTGATTGCACTAATAATAATCACAACTTTTTGAAACCCTGATTGGGAACAATAAAGAGAAAGAGAGAAAAAAAAGATTTTGAATCGATGCTTTTTAATTGTTGAAAAATAAAGGCAAGGTACAAGATTGTTACATTAGACTTGACAAATCTCACTTTTTAAAAAAAACTATATACACAAAGTTGTTTCAATAATACTTCCGAAGTATCTTATTTTTTATATCAATTGTATTAAATTTTTGTTTACACTAGTGTTTATCATACAAATCAATAAGTAAGGCAGTGCATTGCAGAGACGAGAGATGTGCGGCGTAGCTAGCAGGTTATTTCCACCAAAGCGGGGCGGAGACGAGAAGAGCGGAGAAGTGCGAAGAAAAGCGGATAGGAGACGCATTGCGTAGCTGTCAGTCTATTGCTGTGTAAGAAAGGTATTTGAAGAAGAATTGGAGGCCGAAGAATCCGAAGTAATTCTTCAAAATTTAATCTCAAACAACAGAAGGAAGCATTGCTTCTGGAGAAGAAGACATTCAATGTCATAGCCATATTCCAAGAGCTAGACGATGAAAGTTTCCAGAAATCATGTACAGTTTCAAGAAATTATTTTCATGAGCTACACGACTTATTAAACCGGATATCACTAAACAATACACTATAATAATCATAGAAGAGCCATTGGAACAGAAGATAAGCTTGCAGGTCATATATTTTCATAAGTTATTCTAATATTTGCGTCTAGTAGTCATCATCTAATGACATTGATGAGGTGAGGTGATGAAACGGATTTTGCTATTAATACGCAACAAATGCTATCTAGTCAGATATTTGATTCCAGGCTGGAACGATTTTATGAAAACAAAAATTGCTGGGGTAATTTTTGAAACGTTACTCCAGCAAAATCTATTTTGTTCCTAAAAACTTTAAAACAACAATTTGAACGAATTTTGCTATTATTGAACAATTTTTAACTGCTATACTCTCAACTCTCTATAGCACAACGCTGGGGTAATGCACACCTTAAAAAGAATAATGGGGGTAAAATGCAAAGATGACTTTATTTACTTTTCTGCATCAAAATTCAGAATACTGTACACAATTCGAATGGAAGGCAAATATCCCTTCCATTCGCACAAAGATGATGCTTACTAATCGTTTGCTTTGCAATGGGGCATTTGAATTTTGAAAGTGGACTAAAGTGATTTGTATTTCAAAGTCTTTTTTAATTAAGACTGAGTCTATATTTGCACCTAGTGATGACTGGCTCTTGTGCAACAGAAGGTTTTCTTTATCCGAGGTTTTACTTAATCATTACACCAGCCCCAATAAAAAGCTATTCCATTAATACCATGATTTTATTTCACAAACAGTTACCTAAAAATAAATCCTTACAAGAAAAGATAACTACTCAAAAGCCTCCACGATATCCGAATGTCGTTTCTTATTTTCAGCTTCGAAGATATTTTTTATTGACGGATTGGACCCGCTTGACGATGACAGTCTTGATCTAGTTTTATGTAGCAACGGTAGATGATTACAGTCAAATGAGTCCTGCAACAAGTTGAAAACATTAATAATTCAACGTAGGTACTCCCGTGCGATCCACCGGTAAAGACTATATTAGCCCCAGAGGAAAGATTTAAGAAATAAAATTGGTCAAAAGAAAATGATAGAGCACCTAAAGATCATTATTGGCGGTGAACTGTAGATTTTTGAAACATACAGAATGGAACGAGAGACAGAAAAAGTCCCGTACATTAGGGTTGCCTACTTTTCAGTTTGCTGCAGAGGACAGGGAGATACGTACGAGACGAGACGTATAGCGAAACCATCGCAACTCCTGGCAACCTTCCCGGACTATACTATAGTTTTGGGTCACAGTTCATGTGACCCGAGTATGGATGATAAAGGGGTTAGCACAATTTATCCATTTTGAAAATAAAAAAAAATAATTTAATTATTAATATAGAAGAATATCCTTACAAGATTCAATTCTAAAAGTCAATAGAGATGTGGTATATTTCTATTATCATGGACAGCATGAACTCCTTATAAAGCTCAGGAAAAATCATAAAAACGTATTATTTTACCAAAATAAGAAGCTGGTATATAAGCTAGTATTTTTTTACAGAAAATATACGAGTACAATTACTTTCATTAAATAAGTTATGAGCGGACTTCCTATTATAAACAATATCCAATAAGTTCACAGTACTCGTAGTAAAAGTTTGTTATTTATTTGGAAAGAAACAATAAAGGATTGATGACTTTAAAAATGATAATACTAACGTCAAGCACGTTGCAATTGTGTATGCACTGCCTTAATCGTATAGTTTCATTGTACGTTCTCCGCTGTTTGCGGTCATCCGAGTCTGGTGGCCCGTACTTCGAACTGCTGGTGAACGCCTTGGAAATATTCTGAAATAATGCATGGGTTACTTGACACTACTTCGAGTTGCCGCCCCAATAGCACCTGATAAACGAACAGCAACTGGCCTAGTCCACGACCAGGCTGCTAATTTTATTAGACAGGACATTATTAAGTGAAAGATATCGATAAAAATCACTTGCACGTAATAAGAACTATCATTAAGTTACTACTGTTTTAAGAGTCTTACAGAAAAATTGCAAAAATTACGCTAAAATTCGCGCAAGCACTGAAATATTTGAATCTCAATAACTTGCCCATATATTTTGTATGGAAATTAGACCTCACCAATTAACAATTTATTGATATAAAAGCTACGAATACTATAATGATATGAAAAAAGTCAAATTAAGCTAACATACTTACATTTCGTACAAGATACTTAACCACCGTTTTGATTTGTATTATTGTAACTACTAATGCAGAGAACGCAATCCACAATGACGCTGCCAATATTTCTGCAATGTCCTTCTTTTGAGTAATCAAAATTACAATTCTGTTTATAGAAAATGACTGAAAAGAAACAGACTTAATTAAAATTGGTTTAATAAAATGAAGCAACTACATTATTCATATTATTATTATCCAAGACTTCCTAGACAGTAGCTGGTTGGGCCTATGCCCAAATTCTAATACAATATTTTCTCCCTACTTCCCTTTCTTCAGTGAGTCCAAATAAATCTTTAAATTAGCTTGCTGCATAAAATGGTTTCTTACCAATCTGTTTATCGGATTCGGGACCAGAGCCTTCGCGGGAGCCAAGTGGCCAAAGTGCGTAGTGCCACCAGACGAACTTTAATAGGAAAAAACTATACTCAAAACCGCACTCATTTATTTTAGTGTTGTCAACGTTATGTGAAGTGAAAACTGGTGAATTTTCTCTTGATAAATCGCAAGATTATCAAAGGGCCTTGAGCCTTGGTCTCCGTCTCCAGATCCGCAGGTTGGTGGTCTCCATTTTGTGCAGCTATAATTTTAAGTTGTTCGGAGTCATCAATCGTCCGCGTCTCCCTAGTGTGGCGTGGCTATTTACACATTAATCCGTAGATATACATTTTATTTTATAGTAGTTTTTTAGGTACCTAATTTTTTGAATTATTTATTTCATGATAAGTAATTGAACTACTGTAATTCAATTTACATGTAATTGGAACTAATTTAATTCGATTACATAAGCAATTGGTAATTGGTTTAAATTACATTAATCGTAATTCAAATTACTCAATTTGTTTTATAGTTATAATTGTGTGGATAAAGTCTGTTTTATTGCTTGTGCAATTTGTAAACTATCTTGAATTTCTTTTTTTTACGAAATAATTTGTTTTAAAATAAGATAAACACAAAACTCACAACCTACATTGGTAAAGTCATCGTTGTACACCGATATTTTTTCAAATCAAATAGTTTTATTAAATTTATTCATTGATACTATTTTAGAAAAATTAAAAAGATTGTTTACATAGTTCGACTAGCAACGAAAATACAAACATCATGCGTAGTATAAAGTTTTCTATGTTCTCGTGGGTGGGTGCACTGCTAAATGCGACTGTAACTACGCACGCGGCGGATAGGCCATATAATGAGCCCGAGGGGCGCAGGGAGCTTACAATCACCCACCCCGCGTGTACTTATCTCCGGACAAGCGGCGTCATACAGTCGTTGGCATTGTAAGATTCCAAGATTTCTTTGATTTGTTTACATCTACAGGAATCAAGGCAATGATTGCAACAATTTCCTATCCTAGATTCAAGGATAAGTGGCTGGTTGTTATTGAGCAGCAACACCATCGAAGAATAAAAAATATGTTCAAACAACAAAAAGCCCTAGAAACTCAAATCCTTGAAGAAAATGCAGGAGAATCTTCAAGCATATACACAAACAAAGACGATGATTCATATTTATCTGAAGGTGAATATACTGAATTACTCCGTTCTACAAGATCTGAAATTACTATGTCCAAGTATCTTTCAGATTCGCATAAAGATACGAGTACTTCAATGCTAAATCGACATCTAGAAATTAATCAGGTGTTTATTAAATATAATACTTTAATGCCTTCGTCAGGTCAGATGTTTGAACAAAGAGTGGTGTTAATATGTAATTTGAAATAATTCTTTTTTTTTTCTGAATTAAATATTTGATTTATCTTTTTAATTTAGATTACTTACTACCATAACTTAAATGAAAAGGTAATTGATTAATTTCAATTACCAAAAAAAGCATAAAAAAGAAGGAACCCATTAAAATTTCGCATAATATTTAAGGATCCACGAATGTTCATTGAAGCTAAAAATGACAAAAAAATATGCAATAGCTAAAACAAACTTTTATGACGACTGAAAAATGTCACTTAATGAATATAAAAAGGGTTTGATAGTGTTAGTCCTTTATGGTTAGAAACCAGAATAAATTTTTTTTGCTTGAGAAAGAGAATTAGAGGTTGAAGACTCACGATTTAATTCTTCAATATTTTAACAATCGAAGGAAGCATCGATCCTGGATAAGAAACCACATATGTCACAGTTGTAGCGAATACACAACACTGTTTCAAGAGTTTGATGACGAAGGTTTTCAAAAATCTTAGCAAGGAAATATTTCTACATGAAACCGTGCCTATATTATACAAAAGCAAGATACTACACTGTCGGGAACCACAAAGACACCATCTCCGCTCCACACGGTTTTACACCATTCATTCTATTAGATTTCCTGATTTCTTTCTGTTATTATCAAATAAATAAATTTTGAGGAAGCATTCTCAATTTTGCATGCTCAGTATACAAAACTTTCCTTCATTTTCTCTAGATAAATTAATATTTTTTTTTTAAGTAAAAATAGGCAACCTTTGTCCTGTAGTTTTCGCGAGATGGGGCTAAGAAAATAATATTATTTTTAGCAAAAAGCTACAAAGTTTCATTTTTAATTTTATTTAACCCAATTATTAATTCGATGGGTGCCTGGAACAAAGCCGCAATCGACAAAACACAATTTTACAGGAGAAGAGATTTAGTATCAATTTTGAATAATTCTAAACTACGAGGCGTATCAAAACGGTTTGTATATCAAACGATGCGTTATTTTTTCTGGAGTAACATTGAATGTGCATAAGGTTATAGTGCTTAGAATATACTTTAAAAAAGGTAGAAATACATATTGCCGCTTCATACATTGAAAGTCGGTTCCGTAAGAGTCCATTGTGGTTTTATTCCGGTAAAAAGTGTGCAATTAATCAAACAGCAATAGTATATTGCAGCCTCGGGCGCTGATCTGAAGGATACAGTAATAGCCGTTTGCTTGTAGAAGAGTTAAATAAAAGTTTTAACATTGTATATGGCACGATTATTCCGGTCAACAAATTTTAAATGGTGAATGGGAATAACGATTCAATATCCATAGTGCTTTTGGTAAATCAGGCAGTTTCAAAGATAAAATTCTGAAAAAAATTCAAAAGGTGTATAGGGACCCGCAGTTTACTAAAATCACTTAATCGGAAAACTGCTGCTATGGCTATTGCAGCTTTGTTCCAGGCACCCATCGAATTGTAGTCAAAAAATTAAAGTAGCTTTAATTTGATAACCGTAACGTTTTATTAGGTTCAGTAGATTTATTGGGTAAGCTACGTACATAGGTACGTGTATTTTGTAATCGCGTTTTTAAATTACAAAATAACTAACATTTGATAGGTTCCAAATACTTTTGGATACTTACGAAGAGCACGACAGGCAGAAACATCCAGCACATTGACCAAAACTTTGTTGGCTTGAAGCCGAGCCAATAATGTATGTCCGTAGAGAACCTGCCGACTCCGTACATCCACATGACAATGGCCACTTTAAAACCACCCAAATATAAAACTGACACCTTAATACCGTAAATTAAGCCTTGTAAACTACTTTTTGATACTGTAGATTGCTGAAAAAAAAAACGAAATTGTTGACTCATTTATGTCATTAAAGCGCGCTTACATTAAGGGTGGTAATTTTTATACTTGTATTTTATGATAGTAATTTATTGTAAGTATCTGTAGTCCAATTAATTTGCAGAGTAAAACAACAACAACAAACAAACAAGCGTCTGTTATTACTGTAATATTATTCTGAGAGGTATGGTAAAAGGAGTTAAAATAAATGATTTTTATATGATATCTTTTTGATATTCAAGTATTATAACTGTTGTATCTTTTCAGGTATTTTTCCTCAAAGATTTTGTGTGATACTGATACTTCTACGCCATTCCAAAAAAACTAAAGGACAGTGCCAGGGTCTGGACCAAGTGTTGCCCAGAATCAACACATAGTGCATTTTGTTCCTCAGGCCTATACTAATGTGTAAACCGAAGCGCACTGAAATCTATCCCTCCTATCTGAGTTAAGAGAAAAAAGAGTTTTGTTTCGAATTATTTACTTACAAAATATCATCGATGTATACGTACTACGCATAAGATTTCGCGATTTTGGCATTAAATAACACTCGCTATGTTGAATTTAACCATACTGCATCCGTACACGTTACTTTAGTGCGATTTAGACATTCTTTATACAAAATGTATGTTCGTTCGTTCGTTCGTTTCAGCCAAATGACGTCCACTGCTGGACAAAGGCCTCCCCCAAGGTTTGTAAATAATTCAAAACCAAACTGTTTTTTTCTCTTAACTCCAGGGATAAATTTCAGTATGCTCCGGTTTATAAATTAGTATTGGCCTGAGGAACAAAATGCACTATGGTTTCATTCTGGGCGGCACTTGGTCCAACTTCCATACATTGATTGGCACTGTCCTTTTAAGAGATTTTCTTGAAGAAATGTCGACTTTTGTCATACTCTCGGCGTCAAATAAATCGCACCTCCTGGTCCCGCGACAGTTACTTTTAAGATTTTCTTCTAGCACAAACATGGTTCTCCAATAATATTAATGTTATTTAAAAGCCCAATAAATAAACTTAAAGGAAAACACATTTTATTTTCTTTACAAACAATTAACTACCTAACTGGTACTATAAATGTAACTTGAAAAAAGGCCTCACTTGGGGCTTACCTCTGGGACCAATTAGACCAATTTTTGTGGTTATAAAACCAAATAATGATCTCACGTGTCCTCCGTGTCTCAGATAGATAGCTTAGTGCTTAATCCCAATTTAACAGTTTTATAACCATAAAAGTTGGCTAAAGCGTAACTACCTACCTGTTGTCGCTTTAAGAAAATACACTGGATCCTTCCAAAGACATATTTTTGGGGTAAAAAAATTAATGAAATTAAGTTTAAAACTAGGCTTTCAAATGGTACCAATATTGGTGGGTAATATGTAAATAGATTTCAAAGGCTGTCTAGAAATTCTACGGCGCAAGACAAAAAAACAACAAAATGATATTACTTCGTTGCGCGCACATTACTTTCGTAGTAATTTCTTTTAATATTTATTTATTCTACAAAATGTCGTTACATTGGTTTTGAGTATCCTTTAAAAATGTGACTATGAAGTACTTTCTATGATATTGTTAACATTTTAAATAGTAAGTAATACCAATTACGAGCATTTAATTGTTTGCACTGAGCTCCCTTCAGTTAGTTGCACCAGACGTGTCCGTGGTAAACGATAATTAGCAGAGGAATTCCTGCCGACACCCGAACCCAGAGTCAATTAAATCAAATGTGGTAGACAAGCCAGAGAAGCGAATATTACGAAAAGAAAATAAAAAAAACTTCTTCGCAGCCGATGACCGTAAATATGTTACAAGATTCGTAAGGTTATACAGATTGATCACTGCAACCTCGTCATCAAAGAAATTCAGTTTCGAAGGAAGAAGACAAAGCAAAAGCTGCTTGAAACTCTGGAGATTAGAATTTGAAATACCAGAGACTAGACGGTTTGAGGTAGGTATGGAATGGCGTAGTGACCAGCCGAAAAATATTCTGCTAAGGAATCACAATGTGTGGAAAGAGGTAATATTCTGCATTCTTAACAAAATTATTTCTGCCCAAAAGTCCTGCGACCATTAGATTTCCAAATGCAGTGCAAATCTATCGTATCAGTAAAAGACAAGAAATAAGACATGAACGAAGCAGCGCTAGTGATACACGTGTGACCTCTCAATCAAATTATAATAAGTACTTGTAACTGAAGCTCGATGCAGGCGCTTGAAGTGCCAAGCGAGTTAGCTCTCGCCGTGGTGGGTGGCTTTCGATAAGTTCGCATTGCTTGGCTTAACTCCATCTCACACGTGTCGCTATGCTTGTCATCCTCGCGTCAGATCTCAAACTATTTCTATTTACTAGGTCCAATGTTACATAAACTAAGTTAACATCGCCCTTGGCGTGGCATGGCATGCGCTAATTTGATCGAATCGGTTTACAACTCCTATTGAGCTTATTATAGCCTGACCAGGAACATAAAAACCCTGGCACAGAGGCGCTTCAATTGCATTTGATAGTGCAACACTGAGTACAGTCGTACATGTGAATGTGTTAAATTAATAGGCTAAATTTATGTATCAGGATTCAGGATTACGGGCTAATTTGATATTTTCATAAATTAACGAAAAATATTATTAAAGATAACCTGGTTTAAATAAATTAAATGAAACCATCAATCGAGCTAGTAGGATTTATTTTATTATTCATCAATAATCAAATTCAGAACATGAATATTCAACTGCAATGTCTGCTCATGAACGCTTCAAACTCGGTACTTCTTTCCCAATTCCAAAAATTCAAAACTTAGAAAGTGACAAAAAACTTTAAAATAGGTAGTTGAAACAGACTACAGCTAATTTTCATAGTGGACTGTACCATACGATAAACATGTCAGTCAATTTGACAACCTTTGTCGGAAACATTATTCAATGAAAATATTGTCCGAACCCTTAGTATTTCTCTTCGACAAATACATTAACACATCGTTAACCACTTTTCTTTCAAGACTATAAAAATATTTTAGCAATTTAATTCACAAAATCAATTGCACACATTTAAAATAAAGTTTGTTTACACTTTGACAACAATAGACTGACATGCAAGGTGACATGTCAATGAAGTTTTCAGTTACTGTTGCCATTAAAAGAAATTAGTACCATTAGTTTTCCGCAACATGGCGAGGGTTTTTATGTTCCTGGTCAGGCTATAAATGTAGGTATTGAAAAGAGAACTTCTGCAACTCTGCATTGCAACAAAGTTTGTTCCCTACTCAGGTTTCTCAAGAAGCAGTTCTTAGTATATTAGCTATGTATAATTTCAATAAGCCTTTATGTTGAGATGGTATTGAATGTCTGACCTTCTCTAACTATGTAATTAAACTAATATAAATGATTAATTGTGAATAGGCTGCCGCGACACAAGCACAGCTTAGTGCAGTAGCCGCTAGATAAACAGACTGTAAATTTTTTGTTGGCAAATAAAATACTTTTACTTTACTTCACACTTAATAACGTATTTATTGCATAGTCAATACTGAGTAGGCTCATAGGTACAAAAATGGCATGAAACACATTTTAAAAAATACATAGTTTTGTTAATATAGCACGTCACGTGACTTTATGGCTGCAAAAAGTCGCCGTATTTGCGACATCTTTTGATGTTTGATGCACATTTTTGTGGTATTGGAATACGCCAACATAGCTGACATTTTATCCCGAAGCTCGTGTTACCTAGCTGGACGATCGTCAAATAAACCAATACTACCTCACGTTGCTGATACACCCACATAATATTTGCTCCAAGTACTTAATACGTTCAGTCAAGGAGTGGGATTTACTGCCTACGTTTTCGTTTAGAAATGCATGAAATCCTTCAATGCACGGGTCGTAATCAAGCAAGGGAAAGCAAGGAAATAGAACTGGTGCAATATTGAACGTATTGGCAATATTACTATTTATATCTAACATTAAAATAGCAAAGTAACAGATAGTTCTGATTGTTTAATAAGATTGAGCAATTTTATCATTTTTCTGGGACTGGCCTAGTAAATTAAAATACACACAAATAGATGTCTCACCTCCAATTTTAATTTAGTGAGTCATTGGCATTGAGGTCTACCTCTTTGGATCATTTTAAAAGCGTTTTTAGATGTAAATCATCCGACCCGACAGAGGGCTGCATAACTGTCCCCGGCGCTACTTTGCCGCTCTGCAAATGTCCGGCATATATGTTTGCTATGCGATCGCTTTTGAATGATTCATATTTACATCGTATTCCAGTATTTACCTCTTCACACAGCATTCTAAATGAGCCTACTAAGTTAAAACTTAAATAGATATTCATTGCCGTTGAAAGATTGATCACAATGGGTGCGTTTGGCGAAAAAGGCGCTTGGAAAAGCTTTAAGCAAAATGGCGATCGCTAAGCGGTAAGCTAACCTCAAACCTTACTAAACAGTCAAAAAAATACAAATTATGCATAACATTATATCAAAATTAAATAATGTAGTGAATGATGAAGAAGAGTTGGAAGATAGCCGACAACTGTATAACTTGTTTCTCAGCGCTAGCAACCGCTTCCGAGCGATTTTTCCGCCAAACGCACCCAATAAGTTACGTTTCACTTCAAGGTTCTAAAACAATTTGTTTGGTAAATAAAGAGATCAAACGTGTTGTAAACTAAAAGGATTTGAATATGTTAGCAGTCTAAGACCCCGTATCCGAGTTAACCTGTAACACAGCTTCGCGTTAGTGATGTGCTACAATCGGGAAAATTCCGTATTGTTTGAAACAATACGGAATTTTCCCGATTCCAAAGAATAATGATTCTTAAATTTTTCTAATTGTAATTTCGGAATCATTTCTCTCTAAATATTAATTAGAGCGAGCGACCGAAATGCGCAGCCAGGCCTATATTACATTTATTTTATAGAAATATGTTGAGTCAAGTTTTCAAGGAGTACATTATGTGAATGTAAAAACAGTGTTCCAATGTTATTGCAAAGGAAGTACTTAAACAAGAATACACAACAAAACGAAATTGCTGAGGATGATGTAGATTTTATTAAAGAAATTTATCAATTCATTACCGAAATACGAATCTCACTACCGACGAGCACAGAATAACGATTGTCAATATTTAAAAATAGGACAATGAATAAATGAAATTTTTTTAGAGAAAAACATAAAGAGACCTACGGAACAAGTAAAAAACCCATAAGTTTTTTAACATTGAGAAAAAAAATTCATAGGGCCTTTAACCTGCGCGGTGCACACCCTTAAAAAAGTATACATGCAATAATTGTGATACGCTCAAATTTAAAATAATAGTTTTGGAATCATTTCTCTCTAAATATTAATTAAAGCGAGCGACCGAAATGCGCAAGACCTGTGTAGCTTTTAGTCTTCAAACTAACGATCGCCTTCAAATTAGATTCGTGAGGAAGCGCTGCAGAGGCGAAACTATTGCACCACTACCAAAGTGACGTGCGGCTCTTGGGCACACTAGGGCTTCTAAAAATTGTATGAAAACTAGAAGCGGCACGGCAAGCTCGAAGGCGTCTTTAAGTTTTCGTTGAATGAAATCTATAAAACGTTACCATTGTTGACGTTTCCATTTTGATTAACGTTATTTGAGCTTATTTTATCAAGTTTAAAGCTTTATTAACGCGTGAAAGAGTATTTATTTATTTAACCAATAAACTTTGAAATAGGTAACGAAAATCCCATTCATTCTTTCACTGCATCAACGTACAAAGTGATTGCTAAAAAACGACGGCTGGTGACGAAAATCGACAATTCAACTTCGAAGCTTGGTCACGAACACAGAAATGGATCGTCGTGTCGGTCAAATCTAATTGGTCAAATTCACGATAGCCGGACATAGCCAGGTTTCCAACAACAAAGATTTTTTATTTGATTTTGAAATAAAATAAAATATCCGGCTCATCCCTACTTCGCATGTGTTCGATCTCGGCGCGAGCGAGCCCGATGAATTTTTTGTAACCGCTGAATGTTTGATGCGAGTGGACGTGTTTAAAGGAAATGACTACGTGTACTACACAGCTTTTCCTTTTTATTTTCATTGTTTTAATGACTGAACAGCTGATGATTATTATAACGTGCGTTTTCGTTATGCATCTCTTTCTCGTGTTAACAATAGCTAAAAACGAAGTAAACTCCATAACCATTGTAAATATTTTTTTTTTTTTAAAGATTATTAGTAATTTGTTATTAAACAAATTACTAATACTCCCGTTAGCCCCTCGTACTAAGCTAAATATGCTTGTGTCACGAGTGAGCTCACCGCAATAGTCGAGCGGCGGCGGCGGGGACCGAACCCGCGTTCCCCGGATCACGAGTCGGCCAGTCGTGGCTTAATTTGAAAATATTACCATAGCTATACCTACTAAAGGTTCTTTTATGATAACTTCTGAAAAACTACCATTGTCACAATTTTAGCCAAAACTGGCACCGAAACCAAAATAATGATATTCCGCTATTTTCATCTAGCTACTGCCTGCCAGGTAGCTTTATGTGGAATATGAATTATAATATTATTTTGTTTGAGGAATAATGGAGGAATGAATAAAATAATATTCCTAGTTTTGAAGTCATAATTGCAATTTTCAACATGAGAAATCCCCACAGTATTATGTTACTTTCCTCTAAAATGTACTGGTAAATTAAACCTCCTGTTATTTTGTTAATGAGGTGAAAATGTAACGAAATTAGCAAAATCTAACAATTTATACAAATTCTACCTTCATGATATGAATAATAATAATGTTGTTATCAAAATGCTTACCACTGTGATGGGTACGGAAAACACGAAACCCCAAAAACATAATATACCGACAATGTATAAATTCTTCACGGATCGAAACTCGCTGTGCAGCAATTTAGACATACTAAGCGTTAGCAAAGCCTGAAAAAGAATACAATGATCAGCTCGAGTATTTGCAACTTACGCGTCTTTGATATCAGTATTGTAATTGTCATAGAGGGAAATGTTACTAAAGTGACTAGGACAGGATAAGTTATCAAAGAATTACTAAGTACCTATTAATACAACATTGCTTTCAGGTACGGAAGAAATATCATAATCGCTGCATGCTTCATATCAGTATTCCCGTTTTGAAGTGCTCCCAAACCCCTTAAGTTTTAGTTTAACTAGCCGGGTCTGCTAGATTTACGCTTTTGGCTTCAGGCAGAGGCGCTTAAGCTGTACGCTTTAGGAGTGAAACTTTAAAAGGGCATAACGCATTAACTTCGAAACTCTGAACTCTAAGGCGAGGCTAGACAGTTAGTAAATATGTACAGTTAGTCAATTTGTACCTATTTACCAAATACCTTGGTATTTACTGATAGCATTAGAAAATCTAGTTTATTGGGGGATATTTTTTTCTGCTGTAATCATACCTCTAGTGAATTGTTTAAAAAAGAACGACAAACTTGCAAATCGATTTCTTCCTTTGAAACTGCTGTTGAAATAAGGATCTATAACATGGCTGCTAATGAAACCCAACTAGTGAAGTCTGGTGAAGTCGTTAAATCATCTTGAAGGATAGGCCTCCGTGATAAAGGCTTTTCGCATAGATTTTCGAAATAACGTCGAGCATCCAAAAGTATAACATTTTCTTTCCATTATGATAATATTTTGTCTGCTGTTTCTTATCTCTCATTTTAAACTAGTCTTATGAAATTATGTTTGCATTTGCACAAGCTTGTTGAAATCTAAATAACTATGTATATTACTATCGCTGCAGTTCAAGAGAACACGCCAGAATGAGCTCGTGCACGCGCGATGCTTTATTGAAGTGCACGAAATACCGCGCGTGTAAGCTCGTACATACGAAAACTAGCGGAAAAGGCACAGAATAAAATTATGAATGTGGAAGAGCCAACCAATGCAAACCATCGATTCTTAAATTTCCTACCTAATGAGTCTACAACTTGTTCCGTCGTAGGTAACTATGTTTCATTTCTGTGACCAAAAAATCAGACAGAACGCGATCGGTGCATTCAGATGACACGACACCCAAATAATATGAGCCCCGATTATATGCCGGTAATACTACCATACCAAAGCGCTCAATTTTGTTTTGATTTGAAATTTTGATTGAGCGTACAAATTGAGCGCTTTTTCGACAAACAAAATCCGTCACAACATTATACAGGGTGTTAGGTAAATGGGTATATGAGCCGACACTAGTCCATGCTAACATGGTCATATAAATGGTATGGTGAAATCAGAAAATTGATGTCTTCATTTTAATAATTTTATTTTTCATACAAATCGGATTTTATAAAAAGTATTTTGTATGAAAATTTAAAAATATAAAATGATGATATCAAATTTCTGATTTCGCCATACCATTTATATGCCCATGTTAACATGGGCTAGTGTCGGCTCATATACCCATTTACCTAGCACCCTGTATAGGTAATGATATAAATTCACTTACAAGATACGCCATAGTAGCCAGCATCACATTGACGTAGATATACACTACATACAACTTATGCGCATAAAAGAATTCTGTACTGAAGGGTAATATCGCAAATAACAAATAATGTGGTGTAATAGATATCTCGATTTCCACACAGCTTGTCAGCACTACATGAAGTATTTTGATTATCAGTGACCTGAAACAAAAATTTCACTTTTGCAATAAGTACGAATTTTTAATGTAACACGTCCCAAAACTAAAGTTGTGCCAAAGACAGAGTTAAAAAGTTGTGAACATAATTAATGTATTGTATTATATACCACAAGAAGACTTTCTATTTGTGATAATATCTCACGAAAAGAGGTAAAAATAGACTTGACGCAATATTTCCAGAAAGAGAGTTACATAAAACGAAGTAAAATTGATTGTTTTTAAAGAAAAATACGTGGATGATATAGATGACCCAGGCTGAACTGTCCCACCAAACTCAATGACAGGGGGGCGCTACCATCGTTCAACTATATGGTTTCCAACATGGCAAAAATCGGAACCAGCGATCCGGTATTGACGGTGGCGCCCCACTGTCAATGTCATGCATAGGACAGTTCAGTATTTTGGAACTATATCACAAACTATATTTTAGGACGCCACGGGTTCTCCTACATAAAAACTTGACACATTTTTTCAGACCTACGTTATTTTATAAAAGCTGAAAGTTTGTCAGTGCATGCTCCCAACATGTAAGAACCATGGCCAAACCAGTACAATTTAGCCAAATAAATGGTACTGAAGGTGTGCGCCAACCCAAATTCGTCAAGTAGAAGAGTTATCATGTCCAGAACATGAAGAAGCTAATACCAAAATAGTCTACCATGCGTGTAACTTTTCAAATCAAGTGAATATTATTAATAAGTGTTGTCTACAAAATGATCCACTTCTTTGGATGCTAATAAGCACTAGGAACACATTGATATATGTGGACCTCATAAAGATATACGTAAAGTTAGGAGAATCTTTTAGCAAGAGCTTGCCATGATTCTATGCGATCACAGGTTATGATTACAATCCCGTAATTTCCGAAAAGGGAAGATAAGACTTATTTGAGAATCAATAATGATGAACAATGAAGTACTTTTGATAAAATTTTGCAGTTTATAATATGTATGTGAGATAGCCAAGGCCAGTTCGAGAACTGATGTTGATACAGCTCGGCTTCAACTTTTTATTAAAACGTTTCAAGTCTCAGAATAAAACATCTTCCACCTTGTAAATCCGAGCTGTTACAACAATTTATGCGAGCTAATTATATGTATATCTACCATTTGAAACAATGTTCACCAGCGAATCCTAACCTTATATCAAGCCGAGGAGAACTTTGTCCCCATTAATGGTTGGGTTCTAGAAAACAATCAATACCATTTTAAATGGTTTGACTGCGAACCGTTGCCAAATTATGTCAGAGATTCTCTAAAAACTGTCTCAGGTATAAATACTACTCCAAATTATTACTATACCAACTATGCGTTATTTATTTGTAGCTACATACTATCAAGCCCCTTAACTTTTTCACTATTTTTCAGAAATTAACAAAGAGATCGTTCCGTAGACCCCCTCGGCTGGTGATCTTCTGGTCTACCTGACACATTGTTGGGCACAGGCGATCGAGACTAAAGGGGAACATTGGTGGTTAGTTTAACATGGCGAAGGCCTTCGATCGCGTTTGGCACATAGCGCTTCTTTCGAAGCTCCCTTCCTATGGGCTTCCGGATTATGCGGATGGGTCGCTAGTTTTTTAGCAAACAGAAGCATAAAGGTCGTAGTCGACGGTAAATACTCAGACTCTATGTCTGTGAATATTGGTGTCCCCCAAGGCTGTATGCTATCGCCTACGCTCTTCCTTCTGCATATCAATGATATATGTTGCAAATCAGCGGCATTCATCGATAAGCAGACAACAGCACGGTTGATGTCTCTTACACCGGCCGCGCAAACAGAACGTCATTGAGAGCCGTAATAAACTTGCGTCCGAAATTTAAACCTCCTTGAAGGAGGCCTCAGACTGGGGTCGACGCAATTTGTTCCAATCTAACCATAGAAAGACACAAGTTTGCGCGTTCACCGCCAAAAAGATAACGTTTGTCGTATCTCGCTGTTTCGAGAGCACTCCTCTAACTGCCTCAGCCAATATCGGAATCCTTGGTGTCGACATATCGAGTGAAGTCCAGTTCCGTGGTCACTTAGAGGGTAAGGCTAAATTAGCCTCGAAGAAGCTTGATGTGCTCAGAACGAGACGGTAATTTCACTCAGGCCCATCGCCTGCAACTTTATGAGGCGCAGGTTCGGCCTCATAGGGAATACTGTTCTCATCTTTGGGAAGGTGCGCCCCAGTGTCATTACCATTTATCTGCCCAGCCACATTGACCCAAACTCCATGCTTGGCCATCATTCTTACCTATGTTGAGAATAGCTTAAACTATAGCAACAAAACACTCATAATAGAAGACATATATAAAATTGCCTTCGATTTTATACTGACTTTATTATATCGGAGCCGCGTAGGTATTGGCTACTTTTTTGTAAATTAAATTATAATAGTATTGAAAAATGCGATCCAAACTGGGTGAAATACAAGATAAGTACTTATTTTCATAGATTTTAAATAAAAAGTTTATCAGTCACGATTTTAACAGCTGTAAGCTGTTACAAAGATACAAAAGCTACATAGTATGAATGCGTGATTCTGGAGAAAAGGAAACTCTAAACGACAGTTCATGAAAGGAAATCTGTCATAAAGAAAAATGAATTTTCGTATACATAGCTTTGGGCAAATCCTTATCGATCTTCTGCATCAGCGTATTGGTGCGGCTAAATCCGTACTAATTGAGCTAGAGAGAGCTCGACGAACAGTAATGCTTCATAATCTATTCACAGAATTCTCCAATTATCTGCTTTAAATACTGCAATGCATGCATTGAATACATACTAGTTATAACACGGATGGAGAGATCAAAGTGAGGAGTTGAAGATATACCTATTATAAGACTAAAATCAGAGTTTACTGCCACAATTTCCTTTCTTGTTACCAATAATATGTTCATTATCATCAGTAGTAGGCACGAGTACCTTACTATGCTTGCAAAGCCGCAACTTCGTACGTGGGAAAATCGTTTTCCAGACAATTGTCACTTTAATAAGACCTCTCATTTTCATGGGACTGCGGCCAGGAGTGTATATGTCAACGTGAAATTGTGAACTCTGTCAGTTTATAATATAACGAATTAGATTGTAAACTAACAGTGGGTTAGGTTAAGTTAGATTGTAATTTCACTACGTCTGATTATAATTTGACGGAATTCACAATTTTACGGTGACATATCCAAACTACATTTTAAGTTCAAACTAAAAATTGCTCATTTTTTATATAAATATCCAATTTTCAAATGTCTTAACTTTCTAAGGACGAATTTTAATTACTACAAACTTTACTCCGTCCTTTTGAGGCATAAAACCTTTTTTGAGTTGTTTTGTTTATGCACTTTTACTAAGGCTGTAATTAACCAGAGGTGAAAGATTTTTCCATTTTTAAAAACGCCCTTATGCTGATTGCAAACTTTGAGTGCTACATCACATAATTTTCCGTGGAACTTTGCACTTGAACGAAGCGCGAAACCTTTCGTTGCGTGGGTATTAAGGATTTCATACGTCATATTTAACCAGCCATGCATACGAGCTTTGTTTGCGATCAGCATTTTAGCGTGCTTTTACCTTTAAGTCGTACCTGGCAAAGGCACTCAGCGTGAATATCAATGTGAATATTACAACCGCATTGTCCACCATAGTGTACGGGGACATGGTGCCGAAATCATAAACGCCCACGAAACCAATCCCGTAAGCATAAGTCACGTGGTCCATTGCAACTGTCTGAAACAAAATTGAATCTGGTATGTTCTACTTAAGGCTTGNTTTTAAATAAAAAAATGATGTGTTACTTGCTATTATAAGATTTTACAAAAAAAAATAACAGTAATTAGTAACTGTCAACTATGTAGTTACTATAAGAGCTAGTTGAAAGCCTAATATAGGCATTATTTTTGATAAACATATGCGGTACGCAGATCGCCATAATTAAAAAGTAAATGCGTGATAGTAGTAAATAATAACGTATAATAATAAAAAGGTTTTCATACATAAGCATTTTGTGAAATCAGTTTCGAGCCTTGCCCCTAGCGATTTAAAGTATCGATATCTTGTCGACTCCATTTTATCTTTGTTCTCTCACTAGCGTTTTCAAAGTGTGCGTCACGTCACGCGGCCATTGATTGGCCAGAAGGCATGCCTTATCACAGCACTTTTAAGCCGGTTGCACATGTTGTCGTAGACTCTCAGTCGCTTTGTTTTTACACAGTTGAATGTGTGTGTGGGAGCTGTGGTGGGGGAAATGTGGGGACACTGGTTCTCGTTGTAGTTACGCGCGACTTCATATCTATTCTCTTTCTATGATCTGAGACATTACGTCACCTAAGTATAATAGTAAAAAGATCGCATTCTCTATGAAACTGTTATTGGTTTAGTAGGAACTTTAAAACAAACAATATTACTTACTACTAGCTTTGCCCGCATGATGGTTACAACCTTTTAACTTCTAGCACTTCTAAAAAAAATCCTGCTGCTTAAGAAAGTCTAATGCCATTAAACTTTTGAGGTTTTAGTAAGCCTACAAAGACAACATTTAAAGTCAAGGCATCTATTACGTTTAGAATTATTTATGAATGTTGAGACTATTTCCAGGACAGAACGTCGAATTGAATAATGTATCGCAAGTCGCAACACTGCATTAAAGACTCTTGTAGACAGGTCTTTGAATATTCACTTTACCCGGGAAGGTAAATTTTCTTAAATCGTTAACGATTTCGTTCAGTTTCTCTATTTTCTCAGGCTAAACGTTGTGATTAATAGTTAAAAGTACCTTGAAGAGCCCATTACTTTGACGGCTAACGATATGTAAAAGTCAGCTGTATTTCAAAAATTCTAATTTATTAGTAAACCTTAATAGACATTGTTTTATCGAGTAATTGAATAGGGAGAAAATCCAAGCAATTTTTCTCTTCATAATAACCATGCAGATAGCAGCAAATTATCTTCAGTTTGGAATATTTTAAATGGGCTAAACCAAGTAATATAAATACTTCTCTCAATTTTCTGTGATGAGAAGTAATTTATAAAACTTGATTTTCAATAAACTCACCTCAATCTAATACAGGATCATAAAAATCGTGGACTCAAATAATTAATTATTCATTTTTGATTTAACAAGAAATATACTTTTCCATAGATATGACGACCAATTTATTCATTAATGCATATTAAGTACCGACATTCAATATCATTCTGACGAGGAATGTAAATAAATCAAAGGCATTTCATGTTCTGAATCGACGTAATAGGTTTAAATTGAATATTGTCGTTAAACGCTGAATAATAAAAGCATTCTTGGTTCCAATGCACTAACTATGTGACACCTTGCCAACATTAAAAATTTAAAATACCTAGTACACGTTTTAGTCTTTAACTCGATACGTTACCATTTGTTACATAATCTGTCACTTTAGAGTCATGTTACCCATTTTCTCTCTTAAATCGTTTACCTTTTAACCTAGTCAATATCGACATCGAACAAAGCAAACGCTACATGCTATTTTTTATATGTTGTTAGATTATCTGAGAGAAGTTTAAACCAAAGTTTGCAACCCTTACTACTATGGTGCTCGAAATTCTGTAAAATATTGACACTTTTTTTTTAACTTTTTGCTCTAATTCATACAAACTCAACATTTTTGGACATATTTTAGAAAATATCATAAAGTAATGACAGTCAAAAGAAATCAAACATTGGTAAAAAACATAACTAAAACTTTGAAAAACACACCAGCCAAAAAATTAAAACCTAAAAATAGCAAAGTCTCTGATATGCAATCGTCAGAGGTGCATAGAAACAAAAAAAAAACATTTTTGGACAAAGTAATGTAAGAGCCCATTAAATTCCATTAAAATTGTAACAATCTAAGCCCAAACGTAGCTCTATAAACCTTATGACAGGACTATTTAGGTACTGTAGCTGTAATTTTAATCATGTAGTTACCAAAAAACTTTTTAAATATTGTGTACCTAATAACAATGGTTAAGACCATTTATTAATGGTCATCTCAATGAAATTTATTAAAGTTACTTGACCCAATATAAAATAACTGAAAGTTCACCAATTCAATTGGAGCCACAGATAATGGATAGTATCATATATCTTTAGCATAAAACCTTCGACTTCCTACAATTTCCTACAGAAAACCCCTATTAAAGATATTGTGACACAGAATTTCGCCCTTACAAACGTCGGGCCCATTAGCTCAGCTGGTTAGAGCGTCGTGCTAATAACGCGAAGGTCGCGGGTTCGATCCCCCCATGGGCCAACTTTTTCGCAGCAATTTACTTAGATAGCCCTTATACAATTTATCAAAAGTACCTACTTATAAAATTGCGTTTGACAATTTTCCTAAACATAAACAAAACTTTCAATCTTGTAAACGTCGTTATTTATGTATATTTTTCCAAGTTTTATTATGCTGAACACATTTCAATTTTACTTTAAGCTTAATAGAGAATAAGCAAAAAAATAAGCCAAGTGCGTGTGTGCCACGCGCAGTGTAGGGTTCCGTAGTTGTCCGTGTTAACACAATATTTCAGAAACAAACAATTACTTCATCTAAAGTTACTTAATATTTTCTTCTAATAAATTATTATTAGGTATTAAACTTTATAAAACATGAGTTAAACAGATTTTATCGTACCTTTTGAACTGTCAAATGAATACGATTGCTTTACACAATTACACCTCTGATCTTAACCGTTATAATTTTCCTTGACAGTTCATAAAAAGTACTAGGGGAGAGTTCGGTATATTGTACCGCCGGGTAAATTGTACCACCCTCATATTTCGTAAAGTATTTATTGAATGTCTGTAATTGCAACACTCAGCGATACACAACTAAATTCAATTAATATCGGCCATGTGGTTTTTGCCGTGACAACGAACACGTGTGTTTTATTTTGAAAAGTATTTTTTCATTGTTTTCAAGTAACTTTTGACAATGCATGTTTAGTTTGTAATTTTGTTAAATTTAATAACAGGGTGTTTCTAATATATTATTTAGAAGCGTAGATTAGTGGGGATTACAATTATTTGAAACATTTTTCGGTATTTATAAGCTATATTTTTTACCGATTTTTTAAAAGCACTATCACCTAGTCGGCTAAATTGTACCACATCAAGTTGTATGGACCTTTATCAAAGGATTTTGATTTTTTTTTTAGTAAGTCATATTTTGAAGTTATAATAGCGTAGTTATGTTTGACTAACAATAAATGAAAGCAAAAGACTGGCAAAGTAGATTAGGTACAAGTGTGCGTTACGATAATTGGAATTACAAAACTTTAACTCAAAATCGTGATAACGTGTAAAACAATATCCATTGTCTATGTTATTAACTACTGTTCCTTTTCGTTACCTAATTTGTTAAGAATGTATCGTATAATATTTTGCCATAGTTTTTTTTATAGGCTTGAAATTTATTTAAATCCAATTTAGTAACCCTGTGGTACAAATTATCGAACCGGTTGGCTAAATTGGACCGAAGCTCTGAACTCGTATTTTGTTGATTTGTGCTAAATATACAAAAATTGTGTTGATTAATACCTATGAAATATTAAGTTGAATAATTTATCTTTAATTATATACCATGAACATTAGCAAAAACAAAAGAAAACTATGTGTAAAATGGGATTGAAAAAAACTGGTCCAAATTACCGGACTCTCCCTTATTATTGTGAATTTTAACAGATTTTTCAAGCCAACAGTTTAGCTTCTACAGGAGGACAACAACAACAACGAACCAAAATTGGCACTTTAAACTTAAATATTTTGCAAACAGATCCCTAAATCAAAAAATAGTCTTAAAAACCCCTATGTCATTTTAAAAGACCTATCCAACTATATCCCACAATATGGGGTAGAAGATGAAAAAAAAATCACATGTAGGGGAGATACCCTACAAAAAAATATTATTTTTAAATTTTTATTCTTCCACTTTGTCGGCGTAATTAATATACATATCTCCACAAAATTACAGCTCTCTAGTTTTAATAGTTTCCAAGCAAAACCTCGGACGGACTGACGGACAGACAGACATGTCATGACGAAACTAGGGTTCCTTGCCAGGACTACGGAACCCTAAAAATGTATAAGGGTAAGTAGATAAAAAAAATGGGCTGGATGACATTCACAAACACGGCTCAGTACTTAAATCTTTGAGTCTATTATAATGCTTTTAGCAGACTACGTGAAATCAAAATTAAAAAAAAATACAGGTAACTTTTTATGCTATAATCTGGGCTCGAAGTTAGAGTGCTAAAAATGTAATCGCAAAAAACTTTTTCCATACATTTGATATGCAACAAACGGCAAAAATCCATTACCACGGGTTGATTGACAGGGGTAAATTAAATATTCACGTAACTGCAGAAAGCAATATCAATTAAGGTACTTAGTAGTACACAACAAGTTCAATTTAGTGCTGGACGAACTCTGTTTGAGAAGTGGAATTTAATGTTAGACATACGTAAGTAAGTAAATAAAGATTAATAAATAACTACTTACATACGAAGGTGGTGAACTGATATCCAATATTTGTGCAAAATAGGTGAAAGGGTTATATTTACTAAAGCACAATAGTAAAATCATCACCACAAGGGTTGAATAAAATCGACATAAAAATGCCATTTTAAAAATCTGAAAGGTATGTTCTTAATTAATGTTCTTATTGCTTAATTAGAACTACAATGAAAGCTCAGGGGGCGGTTTTTTCGCGGCCGTTGTGGCAGTGGATAATTTTGTTTTTACTAATTCATATACCGTATTCGCGGTTTCTAACCGCCCACGCTACTGCGGAAAACGTTCGCAAACCTAGCGGAATATTAAGATTTCAACAGAACGTATGGAATTTCTCTGCCAGTCAACACAATTCTAAAACTTTTTATCTTGATTTTTCTAATTATAGGTACGTATATAGAATGTTCCTACGCGAAAAAACCCTTCCGTGAGTTCTTGTTATTAAAATTTAATTTAATGTGCTTAATATGTCTGATGTGATATGATAACCTATGAACAATGAACATATTTAAAAGATCATATTATCAGCTAGGTACTTACTTTTATTAATGTGTCATCCATTACAGCCGTGCAAAAAAAATTGAAAAGCCATATTACAAACGACGCAAAAAATCTCGTTGTTAGGACGTTCTTTTCCATAGCAGTAAAAGATATTCTGAAAAAATAAAACTGTAACAGTAGTAGGCGCGTGGGTAGAGGCTTATTTTAAGTCATATCAAGAAGCACCATTTATACGAGAGATTTGTTAATGGTTCATGCAAAACTGAATCAAAAAGTCTAGTGTTACAAGAAGCCTTCCGTCCATCTGATGAACATCGCATCTGACGCATATTTACTGGGATGAAAAACTGTATAACCGCCCACGCTACGTTCAGCCATGGCCGTATCAGACTAGACATTTTTGTAGCAGAATAGCACCTATTACAACCATATAAGATACCAGAATGTTCAGCTTGATGTGGCGTAATCCGTACATTGCGGTAGTGATCCAAACCAAATGCAATTACAGTCGAAAATCAAACTCACTCCCACGCGATTCGAAAAAGGATTTTAAAGCCATGTTAAATTTTATATTTTCTGCTCGTCAATTTTAAACTAAGTATTTATGTTGATACCGCACCCGCACGCAAAGGCTAAGCAACAAAATATATGTGATCTGTTTCTTATAAAGGAGAAAGCGTGTTTCAAGGTGAAGGCATTGAGTTTTCGCTATGGATGCGAAACCGTACAGGGCCACAATATAAAGCGCTCAAAGAAAAGTGTTCTAACATTTTGAAAGGTGTGCAATTCAACAAAGAAACGATTCACCTTCAATAAATGGAAATTGATAAAAAATAAAATATCGAATTAATTCTGAAATGACGTTTAAAGCTGACGGTAGACAAACGAGAAAACGGTCACATGCGTTTATATTACTAAGAACGAATACCATCATCATAATCAACATCATTATCAACATCATAATCAACATCATTATCAACATCATAATCAACATCAAAATCATAATCATACCTAATCAACATCAAAATCATAATCATAATCACATCATCATTATCCATTAGCAATTCTCTACCAATATAACAATTAACAGCCCATGCGTACTACGCGCCATTTTACCCAATTACGAAATGTAGCATCAAGAAGAATAACATGAAGAAAAATGACAGAATCCCTATTGATAAGTAATCTACTAAAAAGTTTACCTCACCCACAGTGATTACCTATAGACTGTATAAATTGTACTAGAGCCGGCATCGGGTCACAAAATCAAAAAATCAAAATCAAAAATATTTATTCAGTTTAGACCACAAGTGGCACTTATGATGTGTCACACACAGTGATAGCATCACTGCAGCGCTTCATCACGGCTCCATTTATAGGTGCTTTAATATTTTACCAATTACGCTCATTGAATAATTTATATTGTGTGAAATGGAGATTACTGACAAAAGTAATGCAATTGTATCAATTCATTGCGAAATTATAATCGCGGATTTTAAAATAGCAACACGACATAATCCTAATTTCGGCTTAATTGAACAATGGGAAGTGGGCGTAAATCGACTTGTTTTTCAAAATTGACACCTAGTCTTTTTGTGCAGACTTTTTATTGATAAGTGTATGTAAATTATGAATTATTTCAGTGAAAAATAAAGTTTTAAAATAATTTCGTATAAAAAAATAAGTCGAAAAAAATTGTTGAATTTAATAAAAAATGTAATGCTATTCCATTCTTTGAAGTGGTCTTATTAATTACCTTAGAGTTCCAGGAAATCAAAAAGAGCACGTGTTTTATTTATGAGAATAGATCTACCGGCTTCTACTAATAGTGATAATTAATTAAAGCTTTTGACAGCAATCGTAAGTGCAAATAATTTTTCGACGAAAATTAATACATGCGTAATCCCTATTCAATTAGTTCAGTGCTAGTAGAGCAATTAACGATCATTCGGCGAATATCAGATTAACTATGTAGCAATTAATACTAATTACTACAATAGCCTGTTATGTATATCTGTATGTTGATATGTATGTTTGTTGTTGCATTAAGGGGCCTAAGTAAGTGAAAACGGCAATATTGACTGTTTCTTATTAGCGAATAGGTACTTAATGAATTTACGATTTTTGGCACTGCAATTTTTAATGTGTATTACAGAACGTATGTGTGATGGGATGACTGTTTCGTAAACATGATTAGAAAAATTTTGCTCATAGAATAAATCTTACTTACCTATAAATTCATTTATAAAAGCTTAATACGACCGTGTTTAACAATGAGAATTCCTATAAAATCACAAAGAAATCAGTAATAAGTATTTACCTCTTCGATTTCCTAAATGTTTTGGATTTCAAAAAACTAAATATTATATTTATTAAAACTTTCTCATAAAAATATGAATGGCGCTTACGAAGTTTAGTTTCGAGCTCGTTGATGGACACTGATATGGATGACGTTTAAAAGATGGCATGCTCGTTTTCATACTTTTCATTCTATTTATTTGACATGCAGTATCTGTCCTATCCATATCTATGTGCGGAAACGTCACGAAATCTGAATTACCCCCCTTAGTCCTTCTTTTCTTCATAGATAATTGACACTTACAAATAATTTAAATGCGCTGGAGTATTTTTAAAATTGGTCAAATTATGGTTATCTTCTCGGCATTGCATAATTATTTCTTTTGATGGCAGACAACTTATATTAAGTTCCTTATTCCGACACACGGTCCAAGAGGGTTCACTCAATAAACTTGAACCTAGGAATCGGATTGAATCCGCTAAATCACCTGCATGCTGTAAAGAAGAAGAAAAATAACATACCTACAATAAAATGGTTACCAAAATCAGATTCATAATTACAAATAAGTTGATGATGAATTCTTGATTCATTTAAATTACTGACAACTGATTTGACCTCACATCTACGACGAGCTAAAACTAAAATATTCAGTTTAATTCTACGTTTATGTGTAGGTGGTATATAATAACACTTGATGTTGAAAATATTCGTGCCCTAAAGAAAACCGATCGGTAACTTATTTCAAGTTCATAATATTTCAACTAGAACTTTTTTGAAGAAGTTGGATTCAACTGTGATTTTTATGACGTTAAAAGTTTTAAAAAAGGATTCGAAACAAACAATATTTTGTATTATCGTTAAACATTTATTAAATGCACATATTTTGGTGCAAATTAGTGATCGTGATTAAATTAATAAGTAATCAGTTTTCTTGCTTGAAGACTAGCAAGGGAAAAAGACAAAACGAAGTCAATTCAATTCAATAAAAGCCCACTTACCAACAAAGTCCAAAGAGCAGATTGTAGCAAAATCCCATAAGTTATCCCTTTGAGCAAAGGGTTTAAGTGATGATTGAAATCGACCCTTCTTGTGTATTGTTTAATAAAAAAGTCCATGCACATATACGGCATACCTATCGTTACCTCACATACAATAAAATCGAATAACCTTACTGAAAAGAAAAATCAGTTATGTACAATGTAAGTAGGTAGCCAAAACGAGTAAGTTAATGTTGAAACTGAGCTCTTAGCCCCATTCTGTCATACTTCATGACCTGGAAACTGAGTTTGATATTTTGCATTAAGTCAGTGTTGGGCTCTCAGTGACTGCAACTAAGAGCGCTTTTACATTTAGGCAACTTTAGCAGCGCGACAAACACGCAACAGACGCGCTGCTGATAATTTCATACTATATGACAGCGGATGCCTGCCTTCACATTATAAAAACGCCGCTGCCGCGCTGCTGTCGCGCTTCTCACGCCCTATGTGAAAGCTGCCTTAAGCCTCGAACTTAAGTCAAGTCAAAAAGTAAAACTTACGTACCATTTTCGTATACCTTGGAAAATATATCAAAATTTGATGACGATGACGCAAATGTGAACGCCAAGTAAACAAACTTTTTTATACTAAACCATTTGAAATGATCGGTGGTAAAATCCTGCAAAAAACGTCATTTTATATTTTGTAATCTATTAGTTAACTGTGTTACCTAACTATTCATAATTACATCCAATTACTTTATTGATTAAGGGCTGATTTTTCAATCATCGGATAACTTTTAACTGAAGAATAAGTTTGGCACATTGACAGTTTTAGTATGGGAAACATGTCAAAATGACAAGGTTATTCTTCAGTTAAAAGTTATCTGACGATTGAAAAATCAGCCCTAAAATATAAGTACGGAACATCCTTTTTGTATTATCTGTGTAATACAATTATTGCATAACTTTGATATTCGTTGCGATTGAGAACAAAAATATAATCTTACTCTTTTATCCGAGAATAACGTCATACTTGAACTTAGGTCATTCATGGTGTGTCGCTTGTGCGCCATTTTTGTTGATACAATGTTCTTCTTATGACCTAAAAATAAGCAAGATGGCAAGAAATACCATTGAAATTATTATATTTTGTATGGAACCCACCAATGTTTAAAATATTTACAAGAGGCGGCATCGGGTCACAGTGATAGCATCTCTATGTAATATT